AAGTGAAGCTTTGTATTGTAACTGATCGAAAATACGCATATTATTTTTATTTACATACACACAACATGCATAAGTTATTATTGGAAATACGTATGATTTATACATTTGATTGAGTGTCGATGTGCTGGATGTTCTCTCGAATATTTTCATTAAGCTTAACACTTTTTCACATTTTGATGATTACTTATGTGCCTGTCGAAACGTAAGGATAGTGTGATTAAACAAGTTGACAAAGGACAAGGCATAGTAGTGATGTCTAAGGAAGTATATGAGAAAAAAAGCGTTTGATTTACTAAATGATTTACGTAACTATACCAGAGTTGATAAGAACCCATTATGGACAACATATACGAATGTTCGGAATAACCTTAATAAATTAATTAAGGACGGTAGCATCCCAAAAAAATTCACATGTAAAGTTCGCCATAGAGGACTACCGAAACTACCTAACTTCTATATTTAAGGATAAGATAAGATAAATAAGGACACACTATTTTCTAAAACAAGAAGGACAAACCAAACAGTTCAATCTCTGCTATCATTAGGATACCGAGAGAGTGTTATTTATCACATCCCATTCAAATAAAATTTAGATACATAACCATTTTTTTCTTTTATTCTTTACTTTCTCTCGTCTTTTTTGTTCTTCATCGTACCATGGATAAATATTTAATATATTAATATCTTTCAGTTGTTCTAAGTCATTGCATATTTGTTGAACGTTATTATAAAATTGTTCGTATTGTTTTTGATATTCATTTTTAAATAACGGAATTAAATACTGTTTAAGTTGATAATCATCGTCATTATCTTGTTTAATCCAATTTTTAACTTTAGTATAAATATCAGAATAGTTTTCTCTTAACCATTCATCATTTTCATCACTAATTCTATGCTGTTTAAGTACTAATACAATTGTCGGATAAGCATGAAAATATTCTCGACTCATATCCAATCTACCCAAATCATTGAATGGATTTAATTCAATTGGATATTTTGCAATTATTTTACTAACAAATGGATCTAATTTTGGTATTTGCTTAAAACAATGCCAGTGGATATTAAATGGATCGATAATTGAAGGATAGAATCGTTTTCCCACATGAAATGCATATTGTCCCTTTGCTGGTATGATATAAAATTTCGTACCAAAATTTTCTCGTTGAATACAGCAATGACAAACAGTAAAACGATATAAATCGTCTCTTAGTGTTTTTTTAATAAAGATGACTGTCCAGTGTTTAATTAGTAAACGTAAACGATTGTTATAGTCAAAAAATGCATAATATTGATCAGCTAATGGTAAATAATCACATATACAAAGTAGAAGCTCAGTAGCTAAATCATCAAATGTTGTCGCTCTTGTAGACATTTTTATTTTTGAGCAGAAAAAGAAAGAAAATATGCCTTTCTGGAAAACACCTTTGTTCTTTCTTTACTCTTTTTATACTTTTTTCCTTCTTATTATAATGACACACGACTTTACTTTGCGGTATTTTTCCGTCGTTTTCGAATAATAGAACTGCAAAAAAATAGAGATTTTCTTGCTTATTCACGTTATTATAGAGTAATAAAAAAAGAAACCTTGACTAAACTACCATAGCAGTAAGATGATGGAAACCTGTAAGGTTCACTAAAAGACGGTATTTTTTTCTTCCATTTTCGATTACCTCTAAACTTATGGAGCCAAACTGAGAAAACTTTGATCATTTTAGTCAAGTACTTTTAGAGCTAACTTTTACGGTTTATTGGTCATCATTAGTTAAAACATTTGTCTGAACTGAACTGAAAGGTTTATTTTTGCAAGTATGGTTTTTACAAAAGAAGGCTAGCTTTTGCTAATGTAACACCGAGAATAGTGAAGAAATAAAGAAATACTAAAAAGAGCAAGTTACATTTGCAACATAAACTCTTATGACAAACTCATATATGGCACAGAAGAGGGATGGTACATTCTAACACATATTGTTGATAAGGTACAAGAAAAGACCGATTAGTTATAAAAGTTGAAGATGTTGTTTCCAAAGACTCTTATAGATTCTGTGACTGATTTGATTCACAGCGGCGCATGGGAGGACATTCCAATCGCCAGTGGTACGAGGAAAATTGTTGTTGATCGAATTCCGAATGCCAAATTTGTTGATGACATCTATTTACCTAAACAATCACAAAGCACATGATTACCTCTTTTCACCAAATCTTGACTTTGCGGATGTCTTGGCCGGCCTCTAATAAAGCATATATCAGGAAATAACAATTTGATCTCAGTAATGCCACTAACGAAGAATTTGGCACCATTATCCGAATTTCTTGTGAACCAAATGTAACAGATAATACACGCAGCTTTTTTGCGATTTTCGAGTGATTAATTTACTATGGTGAGTCACCATCTACAAAATATTGTTTAGCCTCATGTGCGACCGTTAAAGAAAGAACAAAATCAAATCACAACAAAAGAACAATGGTTTGCCTTAAGGGGAGGTCCAGCCCCCTTTTATTTGAATATGTTGTACAGTTCGATGGGCCACGCCACAATAATCCTCCTTGATCGGGTAACAAACTTAAAAAAAGTGATCAAAATAGAATTACAATTTTTTCCAGTGTATTTTGCTGGGAAATGAAAAAGTATTTTAAAAAAACCCTTGCCAAAAATGGTGCATGGTGGAAAAAAACTTTTGGTACAAAAAATGTATGCAATGGCCGACTGCGGGGGTTAACGTTGTCTGATTTTCAAAATTTTCTTTGATATATTTTAAATTTAAATTCTTTTAAAATTTAAAACTCAAAAAAATTTAAATTTAATTTTTTTCAAAATTTTTGCATTAACTCTTGAAAACAGGTAACGTTACGCCCTGTAGTCGACCCTTGCGCACAATTTTTTGTAACAAAATTTTTTTCCATCGTGCACCGTTTTTGCAGGATCTTCGGCAGGAGTTTTCAACTGCAGTTAAGGAGTATTCTGCATAAGATTTTCTTTTGCTAATTTTGATCAAATCTTTTCTTATACTTTCATTAGTTTATTGTTGCTGTTATTGTTCAATTGTCTCATTATTATAATTATTATATTCATTTATGTTTTTCAAATACGTAGTAGTTGTCACGCAATCACGTTTTTGACTCACTTTTTTTCATTTTTTTCTAAAATTGCATGGGCTAGAAGGTTCGTTTAAACGTGATTCGACGTGGCTCCAGATTCTCCGCCTTCAGTAGAAAAAGCAGCTCTGTA